AGATTCCGTCTCTCACAGTTGAAGTGTACCTATGATAAAAATTACAGACCTCTACATGCTTTGTAAGTAGGAAAACCTGCAAAATCGGCAGTGTATCAAATACTTGTTCTCCCCACTGTATATAGCCACTCCTATAAGATTAGGGCATCCGCTTTGCTGACAAATTTGTAGGCTATGACGATGATCAAAGCCTACTTGTCAGTACAGAATGATATATTAGCCAAGATCCTTTTTGACATGGTGTGGATAGGAGTAGGTAGGTAACAGCCAAACAGGTAATGGAGGATAACCTTGAGATCTGCATGATATACTGAGGTTACTGGTGGTCACTTGCAATAACTGTGATATTTTGCCTATAAATAGCAATTGTTCTCCTTTGTCCTCAGCGGCCATGGGTGAGTCTCAGATCTGCTATATCCTGGATGGTATCTTGTTTCTGTACGGTATCATCCTCACCGTGCTCTACTGTAGGCTCAAGGTACAGCTGCATTTCAGTCCCTCTCTTTCCCTTCCTCCCTAAATTATCTTTGATCTCTTTCTTGCTATACCCACTCTCAGAGGGTCTCTACCAATTCACACCTGTATAATACACACTTGTGCATGTGTGAAATAGGACAAATATAAGCAACCACTTAATTATTATTATTATACCCTATCCAATAGCCACGACAACTGTAACTGGCATTTCATGTACAGTGAGGGAAAAAAGTATTTGATCCCCTGCTGATTTTGTACGTTTGCCCACTGACAAAGAAATGATCAGTCTATCATTTTAATGGTAGGTTTATTTGAACAGTGAGAGACAGAATAACAACAACAAAATCCAGAAAAACGCATGTCAAAAATGTTTTACATTTATTTGCATTTTAATGAGGGAAATAAGTATTTGACCCCTTTGCTAAACATAACTTAGTACTTGGTGGCAAAACCCTTGTTGGCAATCACAGAGGTCAGACGTTTCTTGTAGTTGGCCACCAGGTTTGCACACATCTCAGGAGGGATTTTGTCAACTCCTCTTTGCAGATCTTCTCCAAGTCATTAAGGGTTCGAGCCTGACGTTTGGCTACTCAAACCTTCAGCTCCCTCCACAGATTTTGTATGGGATTAAGGTCTGGAGACTGGCTAGGCCACTCCAGGACCTTAATGTGCTCTTCTTGAGCCACTCCTTTGTTGCCTTGGCCATGTGTTTTGGGTCATTGTCATGCTGGAATACCCATCCACGACCCATTTTCAATGCCCTGGCTGAGGGAAGGAGGTTCTCACCCAAGATTTGACGGTACATGGCCCCGTCCATCGTCCCTGTGATGCAGTGAAGTTGTCCTGTCCCCTTAGCAGAAAAACACCCCCAAAGCATAATGTTTCCACCTCCATGTTTGATGGTGGGGATGGTGTTATTGGGATCATAGACAGCATTCCTCCTCCTCCAAACACAGCGAGATGAGTTGATGCCAAAGAGCTCCATGTTGGTCTTATCTGACCACAACACTTTCACCCAGTTCTCCTCTGAGTCATTCAGATGTTCATTGGCAAACATCAGATGGGCATGTATTTGTGCATTCTTGAGCAGGGGGACCTTGCGGGCGCTGCAGGATTTCAGTCCTTCACGGCGTAGTGTGTTACCAATTGTTTTCTTGGTGACTATGATCCCAGCTGCCTTGAGATCAATGTCAAGATCCTCCTGTGTAGTTCTGGGCTGATTCCTCACCGTTCTCATGATCATTGCAACTCCACAAGGTGAGATCTTGCATGGAGCCCCAGGCCGAGGGAGATTGACAGTTATTTTGTGTTTCTTCCATTTGCGAATAATCGCACCAACTGTTGTCACCTTCTCACCAAGCTGCTTGGCGATGGTCTTGTAGCCCATTCCAGCCTTGTGTAGGTCTACAATCTTGTCCCTGACATCCTTGGAGAGCTCTTTGGTCTTGGCCATGGTGGAGAGTTTGGAATCTGATTGATTGATTGCTTCTGTGGACAGGTGTCTTTTATACAGGTAACAAGCTGAGATTAGGAGCACTCCCTTTAAGAGTGTGCTCCTAATCTCAGCTCGTTACCTGTATAATAGACACCTGGGATCCAGAAATCTTTCTGATTGAAAGGGGGTCAAATACTTATTTCCCTCATTAAAATGTAAATCAATGTAGAACATTTTTGACATGCGTCTTTCTGGATTTTTGTTGTTGTTATTCTGTCTCTCACTGTTCAAATAAACCTACCATTAAAATTATAGACTGATCATTTCTTTGTCAGTGGGCAAACGTACAAAATCAGCAGGGGATCAAATACTTTTTCCCTCACTGTAGATCTGAAAGATTTTAGATCAGTCTTTATACCTATATACAATACAGTGTGGCCATGGTAGTAGCTCCACCTTGTCCTCTGAATGGTTAGGTGGAAATGTCAACATATTGCTTATACTGATCCTACCCATCCAATCCTTTCAGATCTAAGTGCCTAAAGTCCCTGAGGCTAGGGGGTTGTTTTAGTTTCCTCTCTCTATCTCTACCAAGTTCTTACCCCATCTATCTCTCAACACTCAGTTCACCCCACAGATGTCTCCGGTGACTGATACTGGGGCTGCGACAGAAAAGCCAGCGGTGAGAAACACACTGTAACATGATCTACATCCAACTCCATTAAACTAGACCCCATGACACCCAGACACCCAGATACATAGAAACTAGACCCTGCAGCCAAATCGATGTAACGTGATATATGCTCCAATCCATTTATTTAGTCCTGTATAACACAGACAGACAAATCTACTGCCCTACAGCTTTACAGTGGGTTGAGGGCAGAAGGGGGTTTCCAGACGAACATTAAACCTAATAGCAAATCTCTCACACGCTTCCTAAAAGAAATGCAATACACACACACACACACACACACAGTCAAAGTCACAGTCACACACACAGTCCCAGTCCCACACACATCCAAGCGTATCCTGTTTCAAGATGTTGTGAATGTCTACACTTAAAAACAGTTGGGTTGGTAAATGAATAGGGTAGAAAGTATAAAAGGAAGTCACATGAATAGTGATTTATTAAAGTTCCTCTGTGTGTTTGTGTTTTTTCGAATTCCTCTTTAACGCCGACACAGAAAGCGGAGGAGGGTATCTATACGGTGAGTTGATGGTGATGATGATGATAATGATGATGGTGATAATGTGATGATGATGGTGAAGATGATCTTAGTCAATGTGTGGAGTTTCAATTGTAGGGCCTTGCTTAATGATATATTTACTCTCTCTCTTTCTCTCTCTCTTTTCTCTATGTCAGGGTCTGACCCCTCATACTGCGGATACCTATGAGACCATCGGTCAGAAGAAAAGATTGAAGTAGTACAGGATGAAGAGTTGAAGAAATCATCTGTCAAATCATTTTTGTCTCTCCAAGCCTTTCCCAGGCCTCTTATGTCTTTTATTTAACATAGCTTTTAACGTTTTGAGAGAAAATGTATACATTTTTTAACATTTATTTGCATTTCATATGTGAAAGCCTCCTTTGTATGTTGTGGTATGTGTAGTAAGAGAGAGAAATGTGAGAATATCAAAAGAGGGAAGTTGAGCTGTGGGTAAAAATGTCCCACTTTTGACAGTGTATGTCTTCTTTGTATCTTACTTATACAATTCTTTTGTTGTTGATTTAGCTTGAGATTGATGTTTTTAGTATTTTCAAAACTTCTCAAGTATGTTTTTATATAGATCAATATACCGTTTTATCAAATAATATACTGCTTTTTAACTCTTGAGATTTGTGTTCTGGGTGTACTTCTATGGTGCTTTTATAATAAATTCTAATAAAATATCAAAATGATGGGTCTGTGGTATCGTCCTCTTCTTTCTCACACAGTTTCTCATAGCTATTTCAGAGGCTGATTTCCGTTACACCAATGTCGTGACAACTGATCATAGCCACCGACCACACACTGTCCGACTCACATCCTGTGCGCACTGCAGAAAACCATTGTGGTGGTGAGGGCGGGATTTATCTGCATAGCCTAATGCAATGTCTGATGCCGTTAACAAGCAATGACGCTGTAACAGCTACTATGGCCTCACTTAACTGAAAGGAGAAAACAGTGAAAACATTGCAAAACATATATGGTAACAGTTTATTAAGTTGCTCTTGTACCTGTGTAATAGCGTATGTAATATAATTACACTAGCTACAACCTTCTACATTCACATAGCTTACTTACATTCATTCATTACACACCATAGAAAAACAGGACGACAGCTGACCTAAACATGACCTGAACATGCAAACTCAAAAAGATGTCGAATTATGAAACATGTCTTGGCAACTGTACTGGATAACAAAATAGGGCATAGGCAGTGACATTAAATCAAAATCTCACATTTCAACTTTTGAATGATGCTCCTAATCCAATGAGTGTGTACGAAAGAGAGAGGGGGGGGGGGGTGGGGGGGGGGGCGGCGAGAGAGCGAGAGAAAAGAAAAGGTGGTCAGTTTACCCAGCAGAAAGTGCCTGAGGGGTTTAACTGAACTGTTTTAGAGGTAGACAGATACCTGTTTCATTTCTTCTTGAACCCCTTCAGTAGAGATGTCATTCTGTCAGCTTACCTTTCAACTCTTTTTAATGCACAGGTTTAGCAATTAATTGTTACCCCACCTATGTAGATGTCAACAACCATTTTCTGGTGTCTAAATTGATAGATGTAGATCATGATGTAGATAGATAGATGTATCTTAGTTTGTTTCTTCGATATAAAGATAAGTTGTTTAGGCTACTGCATCTAGAGGGCCTGTGTACTGTGCCTACATCATTTCACCTCACTGTTGAGCCTCGTGGAAGGCTACATGTAAAGGCTTGAAAATAACTGTCTGTTACTTTAACTAAACTGGAAAGGTGACTTCCCAGGTGTGTGTGTGTCAGAGAGAGAGAGAGAGAGAGAGAAAGAGAGAGTGTGCTTGTAACAGGTGTATCCAAGAAAACAGGTAACCGCGCCTACTTTTGAGAAGCCAGAATATCGTATGTTAGTGTCAATGAAACAGAACATAATTTGTGCATTTCACTAGGCATCAATTATTACTTTGCCAAAACGCAATAAAAGGCATAGGCAGCACTTTTCGCATTGAGAGAAAGAGCAACTTTCCAAAGGACTTGGAATAAGATAAACCAACAACAGCAAGCCAGACATTGTCCAATCATAAACATTGGCTAAATCTGAGGATCTATACTACTTTTAGCCTTCTTTACACTCCTGTCTTGGATTTGACACTGGATGAAAGAAAGTTCACTGTCTGATGAGATCATAAACTGAGGTTAAGCGGAAATTGGACCAATGTCACGACAAATTTCAGCGTTGGAATAGACCACAAACCTCTAGCTGTCTCCAGATCTATTAAGGCACAGTCGGGCGGACCACTCCACCGAACTGGGGAGAATGACATCTCACCTGGGCAGACTGACACCACTGTTGTGGATCCTTTGGAGTTTCAGTAAGTTATGTATTCATTATTTAATGTTTAGACTATGAGAAATAACACTGCAATAGGGCTAAGTAAGGCGCTATGAACAAAATAACACACAACAATGACAACTATATACAACTAAAGCGCTGCATTTTTATTTTGGTTTATCTATAGTCCTATGTATTTTGGTAATTGACCTAGCAAGTCGTTTTTTATATAAGTATTTAAATAAATAGGCTACTGCCAACTTTGGCTCTTGTTCAGCTTCCTGGGTTAGTCTTTGCTGGATTAGATGAACAACACTTGAGGAGATATTTCAGGAAAAACAGGTTACTGTTGATCAATTTCCCCCCTCATGTCTGTGATTCAGTCTGACTCCTATCCTGTGCACTCTCTCTCTCTCTTTCTCTCTCTGACACACATCTGTCTGTATGGGGATAAGAGAAGGATTGCAGAAGGCGCCAATTGACCTATACTGTATTTATATAAGCTGATGTATAATGACTGTTTTTAAATGAGGAAAACAGAGACATGGTTTGTGTGAGACAGAGACAGAGTGAGAGAGACAGAGCGAGAGAGAGACAGAGAGAGAGAGAGAGAGAGAGAGAGAGAGAGAGAGAGAGAGAGAGAGAGAGAGAGAGTATGTCTCTTATCCTGACAGTGTGTATTTAATCATGCTCAGAGGAGATGAGAGACAGTCAGTCAGACAGACGGGCCGGATGCTGTGTCATAGGTGGAGTGTTATGCCAGTAATGTGGCACAGGTAGATTCCTCAGCAAACCTAAAATCCTTGCCTGCCTCTACTCCATGTTCACTACTCTTATGTGACACAAGAGTAACACACTGCTCACATGGAAAAATACAGCACCTGGCAGCTTGGTAGACAACAAAGTGAACTGGTAAATACATAAATCATACTAAAGACAATCTGCCTGCTGTTTACACACACACGCTCACGCTCACGCATGCCACACACACACACACACACACACACACACACACACACACACACACACACACACACACACACTACTAGTTCAACAACAACAAAAACAACCACCGTTGAATCAGTACAGCCATATCAAAACAGCTTTTACTATGGGCATATAATATGTTATCTGGAACTGGTATCTTTAACTAAATGTATCATGGGTCAAATCAAATCAAATCAAATTTTATTGGTCACATGCGCCGAATACAACGGGTGCAGACATTACAGTGAAATGCTTACTTACAGCCCTTAACCAACAGTGCATTTATTTTAAACAAAAAAAGTAAGAATAAAACAACAACAAAAAAAGTGTTGAGAAAAAAAAGAGCAGAAGTAAAATAAAGTGACAGTAGGGAGGCTATATATACAGGGGGGTACCGTTGCAGAGTCAATGTGCGGGGGTACCGTTGCAGAGTCAATGTGCGGGGGCACCGGCTAGTTGAGGTAGTTGAGGTAATATGTCTAAAATATAGCCTACATTGAACAAGATTACAATATATTTACATAACATTTGTATTAGTATTTGGTAGGGTGTATATATGATTTTTCTGTTAGGCTAAGAGTGAGCTGTTTGGCAAAAAAAGAACGCTTTGTTTTAATGGTAACAGCAGATTGCAATCAGGCCTTCATTCCATAAGGATCATCAATGTTGTGACTTGGCAAAACAGTCTGCCACTGTAGAGAAAATAAGATGACTACATTGAATTGGTCAGTGAGTTTACAGTTCTACCTAAATACACACAGGTTGCGCATACATACGAGTGTGTATATGTGTATGTATGTGTGCATGCCATGCATGCGTGTGTGCGTTTGCATGCACTGTGTGCGTGCACGTGAGTATGTGTTTGTGTGTTTCTCTGGACAAGAGGTTCACTAGCGCAACAAGTCGAGCAACATGTCTTCACTGACACATCGAATGGCTTGTCCTAGTTTCTCTCTGTCCTCCCTCTGACTGCCTCCCTTTCTTCTTTGTGTACTCTTCCTCCCCCCATCTCTTGGCCTCTGTCTTCTTTCCAATCACATCTCTCTATTCTCTACACCTCCTCTGTTCTCATACTTTCTGTCGCTCACTTCCTAAAGTATATGGAAGGACAGTGAGGAAAGTGTCAGACTACAAATCCTCAGTCATGGTTCAGTGCAGTCTTCCTCTCTCTCTCTCTCTCTCTCTCTCTCTCTCTCTCTCTCTCTCTCTCTCTCTCTCTCTCTCTCTCTCTCTCTCTCTCTCTCTACACTGTAACATTGTGTTGTATTTCTATTGTAACTGTCTTTATCCTGTGTTTTTTTAAATGATGTCAACGATGCCACACACATTTTCCACAAGGGGACAATAAAGTCAACAAATAAAAAGTCTCTCTTTCTCTCCCCTCTCCCCCTCCATCTCTCCTTCCCACGCTCTCTCTCCCCCAGTTGCTGTGGTGCAGGGGGACTTTGTGGAGCCCTCTCCCCTGTTCTTAATGCGCTCCCTGGCCGAGGCTGAGACCCGGCTGCCCTGCCAGTTCAAGGTGGAAGTGGGCCAGGTGGTGGTTCAGGTCTGTAGCATGATTTACTACAGTACCCATAGTGCTCTGTTCAACATATCTGGTTTTATCTTAGAAAAGACGTCCCTAACATAATGGTCTCGTCTCTCATTGTCACAGGTCACCTGGACCAAGGAGAAAGCAGATGGCACCAAGGACCAGATCATCACAGTACACCACACCGCCGGACACACAGGTAGGACACACACGTATAGGTGTTAAAGTACTAAGAGTGTCAACCATCCATCTCTTTATATTACATTGGTCGTTCATCTGCTTTGCTAGCACTCGAAGCCTCACAAGTTATATTTTGAGTAGATGATGAAACCACAGATGCAGTTTTAACGTAACTACTCCATCTCACTCTTTTTGCCACCCCAATATCTCACTTCCTCTCTATCTCTCTTTCTATCTCTGTCTTCCACTCTCTCACCCCTGCCCCTCTTTATCCTCCCCCCCCCCCCCCCCCCCCCTCCTCTCCTCCCCTTCTCCTCCCTCTCCCCCCTCTCTTCCCCCTCTCTCCCTCTCTCAGAGTTTGGTCAGTACTCGGGGCGTGTGCGGTTTGGCAGCAGTGAGCCCACGGTGGACTCGTCTCTGATCATCATGAACACTGTGGAGTCAGACGAGGGCAGGTACAACTGTCACATCAGCACCTTCCCCTCTGGGAACTTCGAACGACAGCTGTCACTCACCGTGTGGAGTAAGTCCCTCCCCTTACTTCCCCTTCCTCATTGTATTCCTTTGACTGATGATGATGATGTTTACAGGTGTCAGTTGTAGTATTACTAGCTGAAACAATAGCTTTAGTGGTGATAGTAGTCATGTGAGCCACAACTGTCATTGTAACTGTCAGTGTATCCAGCTGTCTGAGTTTTTTTAGGATAACATTTCCTCAAAGCACTGATCTGAGTTTTTTAAACACCTACCTAACAGAGCACATTAGATCTCAGCCTGGGTCATAAAGCTGATCCTAGTTCAGTGTTTAAGAACTTCCACCCCCTGAAGCATCATGTCACAATGATCTAGGATCAGCTTAACCTCCAATTAACAACTAAGACCAGTTCTAAGATCAGTTCTAAGATCACCTCCCCAAGCACTAAGACCAGGGAATAGTTTATTCCTATCCCTGAAGGAAGTCTGACATTTGACCCTTGACCCCTGCAGCCACACCCATCTCTTCCCTGGACCCTGTGATCCTTGTCGAGGGCCAGTCCTTCCGATTGGCCGCGTCCTGCCGCTCTGTGGCCCGCCCTCCGCCCCACCTCTCTTGGGACACAGACCTAATGGGCCAAAAACACAACAGGAGCTCGGAGGGCGGGTCAGTCTCCACCCACTTCTCTCTGCACCCCCTGAGGAGTATGAACGGGAAGAGGCTGGACTGTCTGGTGTGGCACCCGGCTCTGGAGGGACCCCGCAGGATCACCAACAACCTGGTGGTGCACTGTGAGTTTAGACTTCACATTAAAAGATCCAATGCAGCCGTTTTTTTATCTCAATATCAAATCATTTCAGGGTAACAATTAAGTACCTTACAGTGATTGTTTTCAATTAAAATGGTCTTCGCAAAGGGCAATTTCTCAAGCAAGACATTTTACTAGGGGATTTTTTGTTGCTGCTGTTATTGGCAGAGAGATTTGGAACTCTCTTTCTTATTGGTCTATTAACTAATTTACTGCATGGTGATGTCACCATGGAAGGCCAAAACTCCATCCCACCAAAACAGGCTGAAATTTCAGGCAGTCTTTTAAAACAGCTCTTACACTATCAGCATTTTCATCATTCTCACAATTTCACAGTATTATTCCAACCTCAGTGTGGAAATATATATAAAATATAGGAAAATCACGTTTTTGACTGCACTGGGCCTTTAACTATAAGTCTAGATGTGAGATGAAATACAATTTTTAATTGTGATACCTTACTACACGTTTATACAGACTTCTATGCCTTCGGTGACTTTTCCGTTTAATATTGCCCTCTTTATTTAAAGTCCCTGGTAGAATTCAGAATCCCTCAATATATCATGACTAAAGTAACTTTATTGTAAGTTGACTGTGCTTCTTTCTCACCAAGAAGATATTTTACAGATAATTTTTTATCCTGCCTTTATTGTTAGCTTGTGTAATTGTGGATTTCTGTGTATCTGCCAGTAAAACATTATGACTCTGATCATGTTCCTCTGTTCTAGATCCTCCCAATGCAGAGATCTCAGGGTTTGATCAGAACTGGTATGCTGGTCTGGAGGAAGCTGCCCTCAGCTGTGTCAGTGGAGGGAACCCCAAACCACAGAGTTTCATCTGGACCAGGTAACACTTACCTTCCCAACCTACCCTCCCTACCTGTCTGCCTGTCTGACTCACATTATGTCTGGCTAATCTGTTTTTGTTTGATTTACTGGTAATTCTATTAGTCAATGATTAATAGTGTTACTAAGCCTAAGGGAGTTCAGGAGTTGTTTTTAGTTTTGCTCTGAGTGCCACTTGCCAGGCAGTCATTGTCAATAATAAGGCAATTGACTTGAATCTTGATTGACTTACATGGTTAAAGAGATTCTCCGGTACGTTTGTATACTTTTTAGCCAGTAGTTCTGAAAGTAGCGCTCACAAGACAAAAGTGGTCCCCGAAGATTGCGTACTATGTCACATTTGTGCAGATGTGTGCACCACGTCATTGCTCTCGCTAGCTGTCACTCAAATGGCGAGGGGCTGAAGTTCATTGGCTGAAACTTGAATTGCTAGGGGACTGGCCATTGCAGGGGAAAATGTATGGAAAATGGCGCTGCACAGCTTCCAGAAAACACTCGCTTTCAAACTAGGGATTTTATGGCTAATTGAGGTAAGACAGTAATTCTGCTCATATATAATGCATGTATGAACTACACATTGACACATCCAGCCCAAAGCAGGAGGTTTAAAAAATACCTAAAGGGGAATTTCACCCTGGGGGAATCTGGGCTTGTTTTCATAATGTCTGAGGCATTTCTATGACAGTGAGATGTGTTTCACACATAATTGCCCAGGAGGAAGGCAGGTCAGGGCTTCACGCGCTGAATGATACACCCTATGACGGCTTCCGGTGTATTGATCTAAAAATAAATATAGTCCTACTTTGTGGCATTTCGTGAAGGTTCTATGTTATACTGATCACAATATACGTGTTTGTGGGTGTAGATATGGTTGTCCTTGTTCGACAGAGCCATTGGATGTCTTTCAGTAATGTTCCTATCGGCAGATTCATCAGTAAATGTACAAGCAGACACATTTTCTCCAGTCGCTGAAAGACTACAACTTGTGTTGGACGGTGCTTCATGCTCTGGCCCCCGTCCCTCCCCCAAGGCGGGCTTTTTTGAAAAGGAGACACTAACAACCTCCTTTGGGCAAAATGTATAGAACTGACCAGACGCAATGGCTTCAAGTGATTCCTCTCATCAACACGAATTTGACGATGGAGCATCTATTAACTACATGGTGACATTCAACCATACATGTTTCAACTGGAATATAGCGATGAGGATTCGAAACAAAGACTTGGATTTAGCTAAAGTTAGAAGCTCAGCTACAGCCGATTCCAGCACCAAGAGGACAGATGACAAATACAGTGCCTAGCTAAGTAAGTTATTTTTCCTGCAAGCCATCTAGCTAGCTAGCTAACTTTAGTTTATCTAACTTTGCTATACATTACTTTTACCCATTTTATAAGAGAATCACTGAAATTGAAAAAATCCAGGCATTTATAAATAAAATCCAGTCTTACTTTATCAAAGGCCTTTTCAAAAACGTGTGGTTTTACTTAATTCTCTGTACTGGCCAATGATTATAACAGCAATTCTGATCCAACCATAAAATCATACATTGTACCCCTGGCCTGAGAGGATGGAAGTTCAATATGTAGCTACAGTGGGGAAAACAGTATTTAGTCAGCCACCAATTGTGCAAGTTCTCCCACTTAAAAAGATGAGAGAGGCCTGTAATTTTCATCATAGGTACACGTCAACTATGACAGACAAATTGAGAATTTTCTTTCCAGAAAATCACATTGGAGGATTTTTTATGAATTTATTTGCAAATTATGGTGGAAAATAAGTATTTGGTCACCTACAAACAAGCAAGATTTCTGGCTCTCACAGGCCTGTAACTTCTTCTTTAAGAGGCTCCTCTGTCCTCCACTCATTACCTGTATTAATGGCACCTGTTTGAACTTGTTATCAGTATAAAAGACACCTGTCCACAACCTCAAACAGTCACACTCCAAACTCCACTATGGCCAAGACCAAATAGCTGTCAAAGGACACCAGAAACAAAATTGTAGACCTGCACCAGGCTGGGAAGACTGAATCTGCAATAGGTAAGCAGCTTGGTTTGAAGAAATCAACTGTGGGAGCAATTATTAGGAAATGGAAGACATACAAGACCACTGATAATCTCCCTCGATCTGTGGCTCCACGCAAGATCTCACCCCGTGGGGTCAAAATGATCACAAGAACGGTGAGCAAAAATCCCAGAACCACACGGGGGGACCTAGTGTATGACCTGCAGAGAGCTGGGACCAAAGTAACAAAGCCTACCATCAGTAACACACTACGCCGCCAGGGACTCAAATCCTGCAGTGCCAGACGTGTCCCCCTGCTTAAGCCAGTACATGTCCAAGCCCGTCTGAAGTTTGCTAGAGTGCATTTGGATGATCCAGAAGAGGATTGGGAGAATGTCATATGGTCAGATGAAACCAAAATATAACTTTTTGGTAAAAACTCAACTCGTCGTGTTTGGAGGACAAAGAATGCTGAGTTGCATCCAAAGAACACCATACCTACTGTGAAGCATGGGGGTGGAAACATCATGCTTTGGGGCTGTTTTTCTGCAAAGGGACCAGGACGACTGATCCGTGTAAAGGAAAGAATGAATGGGGCCATGTATCGTGAGATTTTGAGTGAAAACCTCCTTCCATCAGCAAGGGCATTGAAGATGAAACGTGGCTGGGTCTTTCAGCATGACAATGATCCCAAACACACCGCCCGGGCAACGAAGGAGTGGCTTCGTAAGAAGCATTTCAAGGTCCTGGAGTGGCATGGCCAGTCTCCAGATCTCAACCCCATAGAAAATCTTTGGAGGGAGTTGAAAGTCCGTGTTGCCCAGCGACAGCCCCAAAACATCACTGCTCTAGAGGAGATCTGCATGGAGGAATGGGCCAAAATACCAGCAACAGTGTGTGAAAACCTTGTGAAGTCTTACAGAAAACGTTTGACCTGTGTCATTGCCAACAAAGGGTATATAAAAGTATTGAGAAACTTTTGTTATTGACCAAATACTTATTTTCCACCATAATTTGCAAATAAATTCATAAAAAATCCTACAATGTGATATTCTGGATTATTTTTTCTCATTTTGTCTGTCATAGTTGACGTGTACCTATGATGAAAATACAGGCCTCTCTCATCTTTTTAAGTGGGAGAACTTGCACAATTGGTGGCTGACTAAATAGTTTTTTCCCCCACTGTATCTCGATTAACGAGAGAAGATTTAAAATAGACAAGATGTCGGCAAAAATCTTTGAGTAAATCACATTGGTGTAACAATCTGTAACTATAGTTCCCTGCACTTGTATGTCTTTACACCTGAGACACACTCGGACACACTGAACTGTACTACACTGTTCATACCTTTTTTTTGTATTTTACTTTTACCATATAACATTGTTGTTGAATACCCAGTTCTTGAGTTAACATTAAATAGTGTACAGTCTCCTGTATTTTAGATTTTGACAAATAAACAAACATTCTTTGGATATCTGAATGTCTAGCATCTGTTTCTTGCTACAGAGCCCTGTACAGCGTATATAAAAAATATCTTCATTGAATCCATAAGGGCAGACAAATGTAGAAGATTGATAGAAAATATCCATATTTATTTTATGGTGGTTCTACATCAGGGCTCTCCAACCCGGTTCCTGGAGAGATACCATCCTGTAGGTTTTCACTCCAACCCTAATCTAGCACACCTGATTCAAAAATGAGCTGCGTTTACACAGGCAGCCCAATTCTGATATATTTTCCACTATATATATATTAAAATATATATATATATATATTTCCCTTTATTACTTTCCAACCCCACCACCCCTTCCCTAATTGGAGTAAACTAGTGAATAACAACGCTTAGGCCTCTACTTTCAGCTTATACATACTATATACATTTTATGGACACAGTCAATTTTACAATAATTCTATTTTGCTTGATTTTACTCCTGAACTTCCTCTACCCTCAACCTCTCTGATCATTTTCATGATGTCCATCCGGTTTGCTTCTATATGCCATATCTCGCCAACTGTGCTCCTTCACAAAAGCTCTCAACCTATAACCTATATACTTATTATGGACACAGCATGCCCTACATTAGTTATCTTTCTGTTATTAGTTGTTATTAGTTGTTATTAGTCCCATCTTTCAGCTCCATTCAACACCTCCCATCTATCTCTTAACACCATCCATATTGCATTTCTATTTGCCATATATTTTTCAACTGTACTTTGATGTTTCACAAAAGTTCTGAACCCTTCTATTGTCATTGTTTCTACACATTGTACATTGAAAATAAACATTTTTGCTAAAAGTATTATTATATTATTGATCGATTGACTATGACTTTTCAGATCACCCAGTAGTGCAGGGTTAGCTCCAGGTAAATATTGCAATCCTTCAGCCATTCCTGGACCTGTGACCAAATACAAGCCACAAATGGACAGTACCAAAACAAATGATCTAATGATTCTGTCTCTTCGCAGCAAAATCTGCAGAGCTGGGAAGATTGTATCTCCCATATAAATAACATTCTATTGGTAGCAAGAATTTTGTATAATAATTTAAATTGAAAAATTCAAAGTTTTGAATCCGGCGTCGTTTTGCGTATCAGTTCATAAACACTATGCCATGAAATCGGTACGTCAAAATCTCTTCCCAACTATTTTGCAATCTATACAGGACGGCTGTCAATCCTTTGGGTTTAATCACATCAGATATTTTTCAGAACTGATCTGATTGGTCAAAAGACAATTTAGTGAAAAAGTATCAGAGTTGGGCTGCCTGTGTAAACGCAGCTGATTAAAACAGCTTCTATCTCAAGGCCATCAGACTGTTAAATAGTCATCACTAGCCTGCCCCCGCCCAGTACCCTGCCCTGAACTTTAGTCATTGTCACTAGATGGCTACCACCCGGTTACTCTACCATGCACCTTAGAGGCTGCTTCCCTATCTTCATAGTCATGGAACACTGGTCACTTTAATAATGGTACACTGGTCACTTTAAATAAT